TCGAGTTATGTGGAACTACCGCCATTACGATGACATTCGTACATGTATATACATGTGCCTGATTGAATGTGTAAAGAAGTAGGTTTTTATTGTTTTTAGCGGCAATGCTGGAATATTTGACCATTGAAATGACGGTAAATAACTTACAACTACAAATTATAAATGAACAAAAACATATCTTTCAAAATTTAATACATGTATATTAATAGTCAAACATAAACACACAATTATATTTGATTTAATTGATCATCAGACGAAAATGAGATAAGCAACTATCGTGAACCGGAAGTACAAATTAATTAAGCAAATGTTATTTACGATGATAACACACATCAATACCTAGGCTGTTATTAGACTAACAACCGTCAGACTGGCACGAGTCAACTTTCTTAAAGCAATGTAATTAAATTTAAATTCAGTTATCTAACTGTTAAAACCAATGTTGTACTTTAATTGACGGGACCAAATTTTCTTTTCGACTAAACAGGAGTCTCGGTAAGTCAAAATTTGACCTAAGCGGAGTTAAAATACAAAGATAAAGAAGGAAATTTGACGGGACTTTGGAAATTATTCGACTAAGGCGGAATTTTGAGTAAAGCGATTTTGACTTATTGAGAGTCAACTGTAATTATCAAAAATATCACATTACCCATATTAAACATAAATATAATTACACAAAATTGGGTATTGTACATCTAAAAATTCAATATAACTATAAATGTGTCTCCCATTTCTAATGAAATTGATATAACTATATTTAAAATGATGAATAATAATAATTCGACTAGTATAACAAAATCCAAAATTTTCAAATCGATCACTGTGTATCAGCAAAGAATGAATTGTCTTATCGACCATCAATTCCCAAACTATTTAGAAACAAGGCCTGAATTTTCGACAAAGAAAATCTACCATAACACACAAATGACATTAACAACTCCAACAAAGACATAAAAAAAATACCATAACACACATAAACAACTCCCACAAAGAGACAAGCTAAAACACCGAACCCAAATCGAATAACCACTGATAACCCCAATCACATACCAACTCCAAAAAATTGACAACCAAAAGCGATATAAACAATACACACAAAATTTCGTCAATATACATAAACATAAAACATAGTTTTCAATTTTGGCCAAAAAAAAAATTTTCATTTCTAAAATAAAATTTTGTAACTTTATGCAATTTCAGTTACTGATATAATACCATTTACATGTATATATGTATATCAAATTTCTTATAATGTCAAATTTTCCAAATGTAAATTGAATTAAATAAGTATGCTGTTTTTACGTTGCATAATGTGTGTTGTCCTTGTTCCACAAGCATGGCCCGATATAGTATGATTACTTGCAAGTTCATTGGTTCCTTTTGAAATTTCATCTTCTGAAACTGATAAAACTTACGATGAAAAGTTAAAACTCATTTGTCTAAAAATAACTAGTTTCTAAAAAAAAGCTTGTTTCTATAAATAACTAGATTTACCTGATTACTGCTCACTACCTTGCACAACGTCATTTCATCATCATTGTTACACCCGTGGACGTCCTCATCAACATTACCATAAACAACAACATTGTCATCAACATAGCCATCATTTTAACACTTTGTTAGACCTCACATGCCAACTATCAATTATTCATATCTGTTTTTTGTTTTATATCATAAGGCAATTATATATGGCAATGTTTTGTTAAAAAAAATCATACGTAAGCTATTGTATTATTTTGTTTTTCAACATGTGACTTTTGAGTATAGAAGGAAATAAATAAAATTATTGTTATTAACATCCATTAAAACGGAAAAGAATCAGGAATTGTAGTCCTACAATAAGTGAATCATCACATGTACATGTACTTATTATTTACATTAATAAATAATATAGTGCCACAGTTAGAAAAAAAAACACAACATATTGTAATTATGCGTTACGATTTATATTTAACTCCTACCTTCGTTTCCGTCACATCCCTCTCACAAACTTCACGCAAATGTAGCTAACAGTAAAGTGCATGGAAAATCACTAGACCATGAATCTTGAGCGCTCGGGGACAATCTTGTATGTTTAACCACTGATTGATTCTCACCAATAAAACTTTAATAATCAAATACGTTAAAGACGCCAGCAAAACATTTTCCGATCTCTTTTCAGTCTTTTCAATTTGCTATGTATTTATATAAAACTATTGTTCCCCACCTGGATTATTCGGAAGGACCAAAAAGTTAACGTGGTTGACGCACAATCACGTGACATGCGCGAAACAGTTTTTATTCGTCATTCAAGCATTAAGACGCAAGAACAATTAGAAGAGGTATCAAAATGAAATATTGAGAGAAGCTGGGACCTTAAAGTTAAAAACGGTTTATAATATATAAGTTTGTTTAGGCATTTAATTAAAGGAGCTCCAATGAGGTAAAAAAACCTAAACACATAAAAAATTGATTCTTACATGGACATTTAAAACGGACAAATATGCAAAAGATGTTAAAACATATAGAGGATATTAAAGTTTTTTTCTGTAAATACATGATTTATTTTCATCAAGTGGTATGAAAATAAATATTTCATGAGTGGTGGTAGCCACGAGTGAAATGTGATAATTTTCATGCCACAAGAAAAAGATGGAATTTTCTGTTTATTAGATGCATTTGTCTCTATTTTTAAATTACAATTTGGAAGACTATTCCTTAAATTGTGTGTACTGGCAGAATGTAAAAGAATAAAGTCTGGCAAGACACCAGTAAAAACACGTAAAAAATGTTTCACTAAAATACTTTTTTTACAGTGAAAATACGAAAATGAAAATAAGCTTTTTATTTCATCAATATTTCTCAATACTTCATTTAAAGGTATATAATAAATATATATACTCAGATTTGATTTAGATATAAATTCTATTTTGTCACGGATCTTAATTACAATGTAGTAAATTGGAGTAAATATGTACATAAATCGAAGTGTCTCATATGTCTCGAACGCTGGCCCTTGAGTGATAATAAGATTAATAAACAAGCATTTTACATATTTTTAAAACATAAACATTCACAATAATTAATGTAATTGTAAAATGAACAGCACATTTTAAAATCAAAAGAGAAGCAGTATTGATCAACATTTTTCAATAATGATTACTAGTACATATCTAATCAGGTAAGAGAAGACAGAGGTGATGGTTGACTAGAGATGAGCTTTTACGAAGACCCCTTCGTGTTTAATATGAGGCTCTCATGGCCGAACTTGTTGAGGTTCCGGCGTCCTTCAAGAAATTCACTATAATCGCACCTGATATGTCTCGGGGGTCGGACGCGATGAGGCCGAATCCTTTCCGCCAAAATCACTGAACTCTGCAATTCGTTTTTTAGGTGTTCTTTTTTGTGAGACATTAAGCATGCAAGAGGTTGTGGACGGATATAATAGGTCCTAATAGATCCGTGGCAATTCGTTCTTCTCCGTATCAATTCGTTGTTCTTCGTATCAGACGGTACTTATTCGTACTATCCGTGCTTATACCGTAGCAGACCGTAGTGTATGCGTAGTGCGTCCGTCCTGATTCGTTTCGCTCCGTATCAAACCGTGTCGGTCCGTAACAATCCGTGTCTCTCCCGAGGCTTTTGGTGGTAAATCCGTCAAACTCCGTTCTCATACCGTTGTGTGTCCGTACTGGAACCGTAGCGGACTACGGAATTTCACATTTTCGTAGTAATCCGTGAACAATTAGACCGTAGCTCTTCCGTGGCATTATCCGTGAATATGTGACCGGGGCTTAACTTAGCAATGCACTGGCTCAGTAATCTCAGATTTGGCAGATATATTGTCCTTGAGCTCTAAATGGTCACTGTTAATTCTGTCAAATTGGTATGCGGGGGTATTAACGCCATGACAGTAGCAGTTCTAGTTAGATTTGGTTTTGGAGCTAACACATTTTAGCTCACCTTCCGAAAGGAGACATGATGAGCTTTTGTGACACCGAGTTGTTTGTCGTCCGTCCTTCTGTGCGTTAACTTCTTCATTCAAATGACTTCTTCTCCAATACCGCTTGTCCAAATTTAATGAAACTTTGCAGACATGTTCCTCGTTTATACCTCTGCCAAACTTGTTAAAATAATTAAATTCCTTGAAGACATGAAGAACTGTAGTTGTCCTATTGTCTATTGGTCCTCTACAAAGATTGTTCAAATCATTACCATAGGGTTAAAAGGGGCCTCGCTAGGGGGCTCATCAGTTTTATATATAAAGTTATATATGAAAATCTTTAAAAAAAAAACCTTCTGGTCAAAATCCACAAAGTAGAGTCTTGTTATTTGGTATGCACATGATCTAATGGTCCTATACAAAGATTGTTCAAACTATGCCCCTAGGATCAAAAGGGGCATGCCAGGGCGGTTTATCAGTTTTATAAAAAGTTATATAGGGAAATATTAAAATATATTCTTTTCAAAATCAACAAGACGTAGAGCCTTGAAATTTGGTGTGTAACATGATCTAGTGGTACTTTATAGAGATTGTTCAAATAATGCCCCCTAGGATGAAAAGCGGCCACGCTAGGGGTTTTATTGATTTTTAACTCACCTGTCACAGGGTGAAACGGTGAGCTTTTGTGACACCGTCTTGTCTGTCGTCCGTCGACTTTCTAAATACGCCTCAGATGAGCGACCAAGGCCCAAGGACCCTCTTGTCTAAGTAACTGACCAATCCCCTTATTGCTTTGCTTTTAAAGCACTAACATATCTCTTAAACTTGTTTATTTGTTTACAGAAATAATTTAAAGAATTATACATTTAATCATGTAAATTCTGAAGTAATCTTCTTTAGCGAACATAGCATATATATATTTATTCTAATGCTATGTAAATTATGTAATTACAGGGGCTTGGTTATAATTAAGAATATAAAAATTTATTTATGCATTGTTTTAAACAAATTATATACAGAAATACACTATTTGATCAGAGTTTGGTTATAATTAAGATTTAAGTATCGCTGTATTGTATTAAACAATAGCATACAGTCAACACGGTTTGGTTGAATCAATCTAGGGTAGCTTGCAGTTTCTTTGGTAGTAACTGTAACCGGGATATTCGGTATAATCATCTTTTTGGGTCAATGCTGTCTCTGTTGACAGGAAACAGACTCCTAAGGTTGTTATCTCTATTGATCGGCACATAAAATCTGTGGTAGTGACGCAAGCAGCTTTGCACGAGGTTTCGTCCATGTCGGTCAGTTTAAGATTATTGTGGGCGGCAATGACGTACCCATGAAATGCCGTAAATGAATCCCCATAGTGATCACATGCTGAAAAAAAGAAATATTTATTAAACTACAATTATGTGAAACAATACTATTCTATGTATTTAGTGATAGAAACAATATGTTTATGACCATGTTTGGTAAGAAAGAAAACATTCTTGGACTTCAAAAAAAATTAAAATGATATGATTCAACCATGTACTTAGAATGAATTTTTAGCTGCTTTTTTTAATTTCGATTTTGCAATTTACATCTTTGTGTTTTGTTGTTTATAATTTAAAAGTCAATTAATAAATTAACGTATATATTTAAGGTATATATTTTGTACGGATGACTTTCACATTTTCCATTGACTCACATTTATTTTCTCATATACTTATATTTTCTGCTACATGACACATATCTACGAATAATACTTACATTAGTTAAATATAAAAGCAGAATGCATAACGGAAAACATTATGTCTAGACAAAACAAAAACGATGAATTTCTTTAATGTTTTATATATATTTCTGGTCCTTCGGGATCACTGATTCCAGTGTTGAAAATTAAGTACCGCTTAAGCCGGTTATAGGGGACGTGAGGGATGTTGCACTTTTTCATTAACCCTCATGAACAGACTCAATCAAACCGAGTCTGCAATTTTCATATAATTTTGTTATGATTGGTGCTGCTGATCAAGATGTTTTTTTCTTTCTAATATTGTGATTTTATTCGTTCATGTAAAAGTTTACGGCGGGCAACGGTAGGTCTGTCATTCATTGTTTTTACATATATTTGCACTTATTTAAACAATCATGACAGACGGTTACGCTTATAGGGCACTTACTTGCTAAACACGTTTCGTCGGCTTCGTTGAAACTATAACCTGCTGCACACATACACACTCCGTCCACGCACGAGTATATATCTTCAACACACTCTGCGCTAGTTTTGCAGGCTTTTCCAAGGCTTTTTAAACTTTTACAATTGCTCTGGAATTAACATATAGAAAAAAAATAGTATCTAAAATGCGGCGAAAAAATCTTATTGGACCGGTAATAAGTCAACTCTGGGACAAATGTTTAAGATGCTTTACCAATATCATACAGTTATACCGTTGTGGTTGTCTAGTAGTGAATCCTTGCTGTTTTATTTATCTATCTATTTTATTTTTATTTATTATTATTATTATTATTTTTTTTTTTTTTTTTTTTTTTTTTTTGGAAATCGCTGTTGAATAACAAAGCAATGTGTTTGCCTCTTATCTTCGTCAATACGCGGTATGAGTGTCGAATACAACTGTATCAAGCGTTTATGTTATCATGAGCAAGGAAATATTCTTTTGAACACAATTTTCGAACGCGCGAATTATATATAAACTACCAGCAGCTGATAATTCCGCTGACAAGTATATTCGCGTAGCCAAGAGTGTAGAAATGGGAGCCTATATGACATGGACCTGTTTTCCGCTCGTTAACATCTATCCTTCGCCTTTATCGGCAGGGAGTTTTAAGTTAGACTCACTGGGTAAAATATGGTACACAATATCTTGTGAGGTTGCCAGTAGAATTTCTATTTCTGTTATGATTGAGAAAATATTTACTTAATACTCTTAACATTATTTTTGTAAACACTGTACTTTCTATTATATATTCTAAGTATCATATTGTACTTTGTGTTACCATGATCACGTGACGTGATAATTGTTTTAGTTATCTATTGTATTCTCAGCTAACATTTAGTAGGTAGTTATTATTCAACTACGCTTTGACAATCCGACAATGTTCATAAAAGAAGCAATTAAAATCTAAGATTGAACGACATGTCTAATATAATGATTGTGAAATGTCAAATACCTGATTTGAAAAAAAAATTGTAAAGGTTTGTTCGTCGTTCTTGTGACAGTTGAAATCATGTATTCATGGGGGAAAACAAATAGTTTGTTCAGATGAAATTTCATTATTATGTATATAATCAAAGTAAAAAAATAATTTTCAGATTTATTTATTTAATATAGGTAAAAAAATAATGATAAGTTTAAATATGTAAAATTAAAATCAGGGTTCTAGTGATGATTTTCAAAACTAAAAAAAAAGCGTTTCAAAAATATGATTTTGATAACCCACTTGTAGAATCTATAATTTATTTTATATCAATGCGACTCTTTACGTACAGTGCTTTGTACTTTAGACATAGGCAAGTGCCATTTACGACGCTCTATCAACACGTGCTCTGTACTCGAAGGTAGGATAATAAAAACATCAAAAAAACTTGTGACCTACCTGAATAAACTTAGCGTACTTCAGTCCACAACCTGTTGCGAAATAACTTGAAATTCCTGAGTTTGTCGTGCATAAATGTTTAGAGCCGTCAAATATCACCGAGGCGCAGTCATGAATTTTACAGCAAAGCGCTGCGCACGCTGCAAATGATGTGACGTTATTTATGACGTCAATAACTGACCCGTACTCCTCGTAACAAACATCCTTAACCAAATATTTTGTATTACATACAAAACTCAAACCATAACGTAAAATGACCAATAACGACAGATATTTCAGAAGCATTTCTTCCGTTAAATGTATATTTATAAAAAAAATAATGCACGTCTCTTTTAAGAAAATGTAAAAATTTAAATGTAATGAATCCTTTAATTAAAATAAATATAGTTATATTTTTCTATGCTCTACTCCTTTGAAGTATATTAGCAACAATAACATGTAAAAATTCAAGCAAGTATAAGATAATTGTGTAATTTGAAGAGGGCATGAATATTTATACAAAAAAAAACGATACATTTTCTCCGATTTTCATTAATTTTGCATGAAGACATATCTTATGTTATTTGTATTAATATATCTTAAACACCAATATTAATAGATCAACGCAGATAACAGAGAATGTTAAACAATTAAATAAGTGTCTTTTTTCCTCTGTCGATATAATCAAACAATAGAAGAATTAAAGACAATATGTTCCGACAAATGGAAGTTAATGTTAAGAAGTAGTCTTAAAATATTTGAAGATCCATCAGGTCTGAGGAATCAAATCTACATTATTTTTTCTAAGGAATTTCAAATATTTATCTTACATTCGGATAGTTTGCCTATTTTCGTTGTTTAATTTTATATACTGATTAAGGCGGTGCTCGGGGTATTGGACGATAGCTTGCCTTTACTTTGACAGTTAGAACAACATTTTTGATATGGTTGTGTTGGGCTACCTGTACATGTAGGATTTCAATGTTGACTATATTATTTTGTAAATGTTGAAAAGTTCTGACTTTATTATTTTGTAAATGTTGAAAAGTACAAGTACTTAAATGCCACAAGCTTTCTGTTATCAAATTGTCTTAAGCAAGTAGAGACTTTATTTAGGAGGCAATCACAAGGTTGCACATATTGCTGTTTGTAGAAATAAGATGTTTCTAAGAGATTTCTTAAACGTGAAACTTTCTCAATCAAATAGGCAGGAATGAACTCAAAAATTTAGTCAAGGTAAGACAATATCACCTAATTACCTGATTGTCTCTGATATTTGGAGGTTTTTCTGTACGAAATCTGCTGTGGTCATAGTATTATTTTTACAATAGGTTTATCTCTTATATTTGGTTCGCTAAATTGCTAATCATGGTCATGCAACTACATAGTTAGGTAAAGAAGCAGGCGCTTGTTTTTGTTGAGTCTATTATGTTTTGTTTAGGGGGTTGAGTTGTCATACACAAATTTACAATTTATATGCATTTATTTTTTTCCAATGATTGTTATTATCTTAAATGCTTCTGGAATTGTTGTTTTATCAATTCATTTGTAAATAAGATTGTTATATGTCTGTTAACGGAATAATTTTAATGAACACGAAATTAGTTACACCTACATGTGTATTGATAACGTGATGGTTTAAGCCAATGAAAACACGTCAATATTATTATACTCAGGCAGAGAAAAAGTGTGCAAAGAGTAAATCGATAATCTTTATGTAGCCAGCAAGTATTTTTGGCTTGCAGCCACGGCTGCAAGCCATTTCATTTGGAAAACCTGTTCCGGTTAGGTGGTTTTCTGCTTACATTTATAAGTGCATGATTGAACGGGAAACCAGCTGAAATCGTGCCAATCGCAACTTTTCGGCCTTTTCCGTCACTCTTCGGATTAATGATAATAGCCGATGTACTTCCGATTACAATCGTGACAATTCGGGCGATTCCGTCATACTGCGGAATCAGACGAAGTAATATTACGGAAATCTAAGCTATTTTAGTTACTTCGGTAATCCCAGTTTGTTTATATAAATAGGATTCGTATTTTTACTTGATTTATTGATTTAAACCGTAATAAATTATAAACGAAATTGTTCCGTTTCAATTCTTTTTCAAGACGCAAAAGTTAGTTTCTTTTATAATTGTTTTTTGTCTGTATTAGTTTTACACAATAGAGGATGTTGACTGTAGTAGTATTCCGTCTTCAAAGGGTGGTCCAAATCACACAGTGCATGATCGAGTTATATTTAGATCTACGGTAATCTAAAAATAGCCCATGCATATCATTAACCTTACCACGTGATGATTTATAGATAGCGCATCGTATCTGGGAACATGCTTATTAATTAAATGAAATGTGCACACTTGTTTCCTTTCAGTATGATAGATCTTCACGTTAGTATTTTTACGATTGATTATTTTGTTTAATAGTTTTATACAATAGAGAATATATTTCAAATCGTTTTGACAAAAATATTCGTTTTTACAAAAATAAAAACAAATAAATATGTTGGGATGAAGGCACAACTGTGCAAGCCTTTCCTTTTAAAAGGAAACTTTATTTCATATCTTTTCGGCAGGATAATCTGTCCGAGGATTCGTATCGTAAAATGGCTGCCATTTACAGTATCAAGTGGTTATCCCAAGCACCACCGCGACTTAGCGCGGGAATTTTAATTATAGCTAACGTTTTTCATATTTTATTGTAATAAATATTTACAAACTGTGTCTTTCGGTTTTTTTTATCAATATATAACCAATAATGATGTTAATATGAATAAGTAATCATATCTCAAATCTTTGACTATGATTTACAATGAAATTCTACCTTTAGTGTATTAAAAAGGTTTTTAATTTCCTGTAATTTTATTTTGTGATTATGCTTCAAAGCAGTCAATTGACCGTGAATTTTCTTTTCATATTTTGATTTTCTTGAAATCATTTTTCTCATCTGAAGGCATGCAACTTTAATATGGTGATACATTAATTACATTCCATGAAAATGTTTAAAGATATAAAATATCTCATGACATGTTTGTTCATTTAACATTACACCTTTAATTCAGCAAACATAAAGTCTTCACAAAAAATAGTATGCAATCGTACCTATATTACATACGAATGTATGTAATATTTTTCTTGTATACAAGTAAAGCTAGCTCATAAGTTAAATTCCAAGTGTGTGAATCGTCAATATGATCACTCTGTAATGTTCATGTGTTGTGGCTTTAGAAAAAGATATATTCAGTTAGATATAAAAATAACAAACCCGCTTTCATAACATATACAAATCCACAACAAGATTTTAAAAGTCTTGGTTGATCGTCTTCTACGAAGCGAAGACGGGTTAACGTGATTTTATTAATCGAAAAGCTATTATTCCCAGCTTTCTGATAGCCCTTGAAAATGGAGCCTTTGCTCTGTCCCGTTTCTGTTTGGTGTTCTGCTGGGCTCCTTGCCGTCCAGTGTTGCTAGGTCGCGTGGGGGATGCGTTCATTGAAACCGCCTTTCTTTTTTATCTTGTTTTTCATATTTTACCTATTGGTTAATTGGACATTAAAACTACACAGAAGTACGCAATATGTTACGAAAAAAATATAGACATAACAGCCGATTTTATAGATTTGTAACATATGACAAATCTTAACGTACATTTGTTTGTAGTGTCTTCATTGGTGAAAGTCGATTATGGTTTTTAGCTTTTTAGAAGTAAAATTTATTTTTAATTATACATAGATCTACAAACATCAAGTAGATCGTGCTGGATTTAGAAAATATATGTTACTTACCCGGTAACCTGTTGATTTACAAAACGCCATATATTTATATCAAACGTATTGTGATAGTTGGAAATTAACACTAAACACATCGAACACTCAAGTTATTGTATTTTTTAAAGGAAGACCTGTACAATATATTTTTACTAATAAGAATGAAAATTTAGAAATAGTTGATGAATTTAAATATTTAGGCGTGACGTTTAGCAGAAGTGGTGTTTTGTTAAAGCAAAATCTGAAATAGCTAATCAGGCTACTAGAGCGATGTACTGTCTAATTAAGAGGTCGAAAAATCTGCAGTTACCAGTAGATATGCAAATAGATTTAATCGATAAAGTAAAGCCAATTTATTATATGGATGTGAGTGCTGGGGTTATGGTAACAATTCCATACTAGAAAAAGTTCAACTGAAATATCTAAAACATATATATTGGGTCTTAAATCAAGCACACCCGACTGTATTGTATTTGGTGAAACATGTGACAAGTCATTTCACATTGAGATTAATACAAGAATGATAAGCTTCTGGTCAAAACTTGTTGAACCAATAGATTTTTAACTGACATGTTCTTTGTATAATGTAATGCTTTACAATTTTAGTACCAGTGTCAATGTCACAGACAATCATTTTAATGGATCTTACATATACAACCAAATACTTATAAACTGTGGTTTATTGAACATATTTGATACCCGTGAATATTTCCAAATCATAAATGATTAGTAGCTTGTTTAAACAGAAATTGTCTCACTTATATTTTAATGAGTGATATTCTATTGTTAGTTATTCTAGTAAATGTAAAAACTACCGATTATTCAAGGAAACGTTCAAATTCGAACCATACTTTGTAAATACACCCATAACCTGCTTAGATATGTTATTAAATTTTGAACTCGTAATAATAGACTTCCAGTAGAAACAGGAAGCTGGATTAGAACATAACTTCACCAGCGAAAGTGCACAGTTTGTAATTGTATCGGTAGCTTTGGTGATGAATTTCATTATCTATTAGAATGTAAAGAAGTTTCTGCACTAAGAAAAAGGCATTTAGATCACCAATATGTAAGAAAACCTTATATAATGTTATTTAAATCTGTTATGAATATAGATACAAATCATTATGATTAGTACAAGCATATTTGTTTATTTGTTAAGGAAATTATTATCAAATTTGATATAAGATAAAGTTGCAATATGATGTATTACAAAAAATGCGTGCCTTGCTATTAAGATCTGTCGTATATTAAACATTTTTACAACTATTATTTAAGTAACGGAAGTTTAAGATAATGTTATTTAGGTATATGACTGATCTATATGGCAAAGCATATATTTGCAACATTATTGTTATTTAATATAAAACATATGGAATACAAAATGTCTCTCCCTAGTATGAAAATGCGAGATATGTCTATGCATGTTATATATGCCTCTATAGTTTATTATTTATAAATATGTTATAGCTCATATTGTCATGTTATTCATGAACTGAGTATTAAATAAACTTGTAAACTTGTATAACTTGGTATCAAA